GAGGATGAGGTCCCTCGGCTGGTCCCCCAATCTCAATGTCAGCTATCAAGGGGTCGAGAGTTCAATTAAAGAGAAGGCATAAGGAAGGGAAAACTTACCAGGACGATGCATCCGGGCTCCGGCCGCATCAGGGGGTGACCCGGCACCGGGTACACAAAATCAAGGGGGGCGCCCGCGCTATCCTAGGGAGACTCCATCGCCTCCTTGATGCGTTGTGCCACTTTGGAGGGTGAGAGCACCCCCTCGGAAGCGCGTCGTCCCATCGAATGATGCCCCGGGCACCATCACGTATAGGGAAGCGCCCGCCTCATCAGTGGCACCACCCTCCTCGTGTGGTAGGCGCCAATGATGCCCGACCTCTTCAGCCCCTCTCCTTCAGGATCCAGATGGCGATGAGGTGGTCCCGAATCTTCTTCTTGTCCTTCTCCAGGACACTCCACTTCCGCCACGAGTTTGGGACCTCTTCGACTAGGTGCCCAGTGAACTCTGGCAGGAGGGCGACTGCGTCATTCTTGAGATAGAACCAATGCGAATGTCACCCCTTGTTGGAGGTTGACAAATGCATCGACGGGTATTCATCGACCCGGTTGTTCCAGAGTTGGATGCCGGCGCATCCCATCGGCGTGCTCAGCTCCTGCTTCTTCTCCCATTTCTTTTGAAGGGTGACGGCGAAGAAGTACCGCCATAGATCAAAGTTGGGACTAATCCCTAGGAATCCCTCACATAGGGCGACGAATGCCACCATGTGTTGGATTCCATTCGGATTGAGGTGCTGCAACTCAATTTGGTAGTAGTGCAGCAACCCCGGAGAAATTTGTGAGCAGGGGTCGCAAGCCCTCGCTCATGGAAACGCACGAACGAGACGACATAGCCGTCGGGCGGCGATGGTACATCCTCCTCGCCGGGCAGCCGCCACTCCTCGACAGTGGTCCGCGCGGAGAGAAGGCCGTGGTGGACAAGGCCCTCCATGCGCTGGAGGGTGACATAAAAAAGGCCCTCCATTGGAAGATGGGGTGGGTGGATGCGAACTCGACGACGGCTAAGACACGGATGCAGAGAACTTAGGTGATTGGCGGTGGAGGTTGCAGATGCGAAGGCAAGGAGGCAAAGTATGAAACCCTGGGGGCAAACCCTTTGGTTTTATAGGGGCGACGGATGCGAGGAAACCAACCGTCCGCCTAGATCTCCGTGCCTCCCATGATCTGCCACAACATCACACCACGGGATACATGCACGCAATCCCTATTCTTTCCTTCGTGGAACTCGCCGGACGTTTCGCCTCCCCGGGCCTAGGAATATGGATCAAAAGCGCATCTATGGCACTTCTGGCCCTAGGAGTCCGACGGTTAGCCCATCAAACGGGTCTAACAGCCACTCCAAACACCCCTACAACAAAGGTGGAAAGAGCTGGGCCTCGCTAGCAGCCAGCGCCTAGGCGCACGAGCGCCACAGGCATCTCGCCCACGATTAAAGTCTCAGTCAGGCTTTCCCTGACCAGATCTCTACGAACGGGATACCGGGAGCCCAATCAAACTATCCAGCTAAACAACCACCAAATCTCACGACCATACCCGCGAAGGGTCCGACCTTGGCGAAGAAGAAATCACCATCTTCAGGGTACGCCGTGGGCAACAATAGAGGGCCAGGGCTCTCAGAACCCTCTCTTTCGAAAAACCCTCCGAAGGAGTATCCTACTCCTCCACAGGCTCAAGGGCTACACCCACCGGGTGCACTCGCGCGCACCCGCTGGCAAGTAAAAAACCCTAGGCAATTCTACTTGAATCGCCCGGGGGCTCGGGGCTACTGTCGGGGACCAATATTAGGGTACCCGAAGAGAAGGAGCTAATGACCATCAACATTGATTCATCCAAGCGATCAAGAGCGCGACTACACCACTTACCGGGTCACTTTTCGTCCGTCCACCAAGACCATGGGCCCTGCCTCGTCTGACCCTCGAGGGTTGGCTCCGCCTTGGTGGGCGTTGTGGCCATAGGTCCCGTCTCGCCCGACCCTCGAGGGTTGACTCCGCCTTAGGCTGACTCCCGAGGGCTGGCTCGCCTCACCCGATGTCTGAGGGCAGACTCCGTCTCGCCCGAACCCCGAGGGCAGACTCCGCCTCGCTCGACGTTCGAGGGCTGGATCCGCCTCGCCCGACGTCTGAGGGCTGGTTTCGCCTCGCCTGACGTTCGAGGGCTAGCTTCGCCTCGCCCCGATGTCTGAGGGCTGGCTCCGCCTCGCCCGACATCTAAGGGCTGGCTCCACCTCGCTCGACGTTCGAGGACTGGCTCCGCCTCGCCTGATGTCTGAGGGCTGGCTCCGCCTTGCCCGATGTCTGTGGGCTGGCTCCGCCTCGCCCTACGTCTGAGGACAGACTCCGTCTCGCCCGACCCCCAAGGGCTGGCTCCGCCCCGCCCGACGTCTGGGGACTGGCTCCGCCTCGCCCGACGTCCGAGGGTTGGCTCTGCCTCGCCCGACGTATGAGGGTTGGCTCTGCCTTGCCTGACGTCTGCGCGCTGCTCCTTCATAACTACGCACGTAGATAACGCAGGGCACTCAAGTCAACCACAATATCAAGGACCATACCCTGCACGCCTGTAGGAAAGTACCGTAAGGATATGACCAGAAGGGCGCTTTGAGACCTTCCAGGCTTGTCAGAGCCCAAACAGTGTTGTAGGCGCCGACATTTGTCTTACAGTGTTGTGGGCGCCGTCATTTGCCCTCGGGCGTGGATACTGACGGCAGCTCACGACAACCACTACGGTCCAGGAGGAAACTCATATCACCTACAGTAACGGATGTGCGGTCACTACGCCATCTGCTCCTTGGCCGTGGATCAGCACCCTGGTCTGCCGCGTCGCCCGCCAGGGCGGGATGTGATGTGACAACTTTTTGATAATGCCAGGACATGGCATCATCAGCGGACACACGCCGAGCATGGCCCTATCAGGATCAGTGGACATGCCCTGGCACCGCCTGCCATGTCAGCGGGGCCCGCACAGAGGAAAAGGAAGACCCGGTATCTTTGAAGTACCTCCTTTGCCTCTGGTTTTTCTCCCATCTGTAATCTCTGCTCTCCCTTGGCCTATAAAAGGAAAGGCAGGACACCCCACTAGGGGGATCAATAAAACACACCACGCATCACATCACACATAGCTGAGCAGCGACAAAGCTCTCAACACCCATTCGACCTTTCCATCAGAGACTTGGGACCTTTCCCTCTCTCGCCCGTTTGTAACCCATACTACGAACTTTTCAGTGCTAATAACACGAGCAGCAGCCACGAACTGGACGTAGGGACATTCTGCTCGAACCAGTATAAACCTCGTGTCTTTTTAGCACACCATCCGGGCCAGACGTGCAATAACATAAATTTACTCGTTGGTGTTTACTTGAAACACCGACAATACATAATTACGAGCTTCAGTCCCACCCCTCGATGACTCTTTCTGGATCCTGCCTTGGTATAACGGCTGCACTCACTCAACTCCCATATGGTTGTGCTCCTTCCTCTCCCCTTTTGCCTCCCCATTCTTCTCGAACGCAACATCAACTAGCAGGTCCAATGTGCTTCATTAGATGGAAGTCAGACCCTCCTCTTGCACGCATCCAAACCCCACACCTCCTACTAAGATGTCATCAAGTCCCATCTACTTGCCCCTATCCCTCTAGCATCATATCGATAACTCCCTTGTGGCTATAAGTTTGGTCTGTGGTGATTCATTCACAGACCGATGTAGAGCCACAACGGTGGTGTCATCATGGTACGCACTAGTGTAGTTCTAACCATCTAGTGTCCGCCCTTCCGTATCATAATCGAATGGAGCAACCTCATCGTAAACGCCAGACTCTAATCCACTAGCACCCTTGCGTACATGTCCCTATTGGCATGGTGGGTGCTATGTCAACCATCCCAACACTAGGGGATGTTGCATGGTGTTTCCTCGGCACCGAAAACCCTAGTAAGTGTATCAGGCCTAGCGTCCTTATGCCCTAATGGAAAAGGCACGCCTGCCAAAGGACCTCATTGGCAAAGGTGTTATCGTTGCCTCTCCCATGTTGAAGAAAGGGGTTGACACACTCGTGGTGTTGATCACTTGGACAATCTAGAAAGAAAGGAATGCTTGAGTCTTCAGAGCTGCCTCTAAAGATGCTTGTCAGATTCTAAGCGACATCAAGAAAATGGCCAACTTATATATGGGTTAAGGCAAGTGCTCCCTCATTAACGCACTCTACCCTGCCTCCAGTCTACCTCCACCCGTCCCTGGCGGTAGCGCCGTTGTCTGGTTCGCCACCATTACCCCCGCCACGCTAATAAACCGGTTGCTCCAATGTGTTTCCTCTCTCCCCCAGCCTCTCCCTGCCCACTGGTTGTCCGACGCTCAAATCACCATCGCCGGACCTATCTACTTCCGGAGCCCTCACGTCTAAGTCTGATAGCAACTCCTCCCCTAAGGCTACGTGCGACAAGAAGTGTGTTCCCAATATGCAATTAATTTTTATTTTTGCATGATCCAATATGTCCCAAGTACAGATGTCCCGTATAGATCAAACAAAATTATATTTCTTTGGCTTATAGTGAGCACATGCATGTTCGAGTAGTACTAAATTGTACTTATATAGTAGAAAAATGCAGCATATGTGTGAATGCTTCTCCCTTGCAGCTCTCCAGCTTTCTTAAAAAAAATGTACCAGGAAATGCCTCCTGAATTTCGAGGGAATATTGCAATGACCAGACCAGGTATATATTGCACGGCACATTCCAAGAAGTGGCAATTTGAATAGATCCAAGCTTCCCAGCAATTTCTCCCCCTGAAACGAAGCCAAACCGAACCTCTCTTGCTCTCTGCTTGCTCCATCTCTTCTTCTCTGTATAAATAGACACCAAGCCATCGGCACCGTAGCAGGGCGGGAGCGGGAGCCATCGGCACCGCTGCAAGCTAAGGGTCACAGCATCCATTCCGAGGGACTCTCCTCGTCGGAGAAGGCTATCGTCGTCCATCATGGAGGCGTCGTCGTCTCTGTGGAGCGGCCTCAACTCCGGCATCGTGCTGAGCCTACTGGCCGTTGTCTGGACCATGCTATGGCAGGCGCTGCAGGGGCTCCAGCTGCACCACTTCTTCGGGCGCCACTCCCGCCGCCTGACGCGCCGCCTCGCGTCCATCCTGGACCCGGACCTCACGGTGACCGTCGCCGAGTACGACGGCGGGCGCATGCGCCGCAGCGACGCGTACAAGGAGGCCAAGGCGTACCTGGAGCGCGCCACGCGGGAGGCCCGCGGGTCAGGCGGGGTGCGCCACCTCAGGGCGGAGCCCGACAAGGACCCCGACCGCGTCCTTCTCAGCATGGACGACGACGAGGAGATCACCGACGAGTTCCGGGGCGCCGTCGTCACGTGGCGCGCCTGCACCGCGCCGCAGCGCGAGGACACCGGGCTGGCGTACTACTGGCGGGGTGGCGCCCCGCGCGAGCGCAGGTCCTACAAGCTCTTCTTCGCCGAGCGCCACCGCGACCTCGTCCTCGGAGAGTACCTCACCCACGTCCGCCGCCAGGGACGCGCCGTCATGGTCCAGAACCGCCAGCGCAAGCTCTTCACCAACATCTCCGGCGACGGCTCCTGGGACTCCGACGGGTAAAATACATACATGCATACTCTACGCGAACTAAACTCTAGTCTCTTTGATTTGATCGAATTTGAAGCTGATTTTGATGCGCCAGCTTGTGGTCCGACAGTGTGTGGAGCCACGTGGTGTTCGAGCACCCCAAGACGTTCGCGACGCTGGCCATGGACCCGGCCAAGAAGAAGGAGGTGATGGACGACCTGGACGCGTTCCGCAACGGCAAGGACTACTACGCGCGCGTCGGCAAGGCGTGGAAGAGAGGGTACCTCCTGTACGGTCCGCCGGGGACGGGCAAGTCCACCATGATCGCGGCCATGGCCAACCACCTCGACTACGACGTGTACGACATCGAGCTCACGTCCGTGCGCACCAACACCGACCTCCGCAAGCTCTTCATCGAGACCACCAGCAAGTCCATCATCGTCATCGAGGACATCGACTGCTCGCTCGACCTCACCGGCAAGCGCAAGAAGAAGAAGAAGAAGGAGAAGGAGGAGGCCGACAAGAAGGACGGTAAGGAAGAGGACAAGGAGAAGGAGGACGACAAGGCGGGCGGCAGCAAGGTGACGCTCTCCGGCGTGCTCAACTTCATCGACGGGCTGTGGTCGGCGTGCGGCGGCGAGCGCATCATCGTGTTCACCACCAACCACGTGGAGAAGCTGGACCCGGCGCTGATCCGGCGCGGCCGCATGGACAAGCACATCGAGATGTCCTACTGCTGCGTCGAGTCCTTCAAGTTCCTCGCCAAGGTCTACCTCGACGTGGACGACCACCCGCTCTTCGGCGCCGTGGCGGCGCTGCTGCGGGAGGTGGAGATGACGCCCGCCGACGTCGCGGAGAACATGACGCCCAAGGGGCCCGGCGAGGACGCCGACTCCTGCCTCGCCGCGCTGGTGGAGGCGCTGGAGAAGGCCAAGGAGGAAGCGCTGATGGCGAAGAAGAAGAAGGCCGAGGGGAGGGAGGAGGAGGAGGCCGGCGCCGCCGATGAGGTCGACGGCGACGAGGAGGAGGAGGAGTAGGCTGGTGGGTGTTGACTTGTTAGTTGCTACTTGCTAGAGACGTAGCACTGTTGTACTTTGATGGTACTAGGTGAAAGCTGAAAGGTTGCGTAGCCGCCAATACGGACAGGATGCATGATGATAACATGCTACAGTACGCAAGTACATTGCATGTGTCAGCTGGGGTGAACATAGATATGCATCATGATGTTTGGTAGAACGGCGTATGGAGATTTTTTTATTGGACGCAAAAGCAAGGGCTGGAACCAGATGGCGTTCTGCTTTCTTCAGTTGGAACCAGATGGCCTCTTGTAATACGATCTTCAAAACACACGTCCTTTGACAACTTCTAATCAACTTTAGCCCATGCATGTTCCAGTCATCTTAACCCCCGGCCTCCTCTTTTTAATTCATCATCAACGACTAGCTTGTTTTCCATGCATGTATCACCTATAAGTACCAGTAACCACACTTTAGCTAGCAGAAAGGCTTACTTGGTAGTAAGAGATGGTCATTTCATTTCATTTAATTACCTTCTTATATAGTTGTTGTGCTTAACTTATAACGATAATAGTTTGACCTTTGACGCTGTAGATGGCGTGGAATAAATTCGAGAAGGACAGTGGTTAGAAAATGGCATTTCGGCTTCTGATGACGCGTACTATGCGTGCCTACAAACAAATAACGCTGCTGGTGTTCGTGTCGTCCCACCCATCATCCATCGTCTCTTCAGCGTGCAAGTACAACACGAGCATCTTTCCTCCACAGGTGGGGGAAAGTACTAGAAACATGCTCCTGAGATATGCATAGCAATTAGCTATTGCTTCCTCTCCGATTTTGAAATTATGAGTTGTTGTTGCCCCACCCCTTATTAGTTATTGTTGCACTATTGTATTGCCCATTATGGATCTTCTTCTTTTTAATAAAATCAATAGTTCTCCTATCAGGTTTGTTTTTTTAAAAAATATTCTCTAATTTTAATCAAGTTTATAGCGACAAATTTTGACCAAGTTTATAGCACGAGCATCTTTCAGCCACACAGAGCTTGTTTTTTGGGCTCCTCCCACACTAGGCAAAAACGAGCTCCGATTCCTATTGGCTTCACATGAGAGAGAAGCCATTTCCTACAGGCCGGTTGATATGGATTCCATAGGAGCTAGAGCAAAAGCTCCTTTTGGAGCCATGCCAAAGGGGTCACCAATATATTTTTATAAAAATTTTGTCAAAAATTTAAAAAGAAAGATTAACTTAAGAAAAAAAATAAGTTACATATAATGTGGAACACGGGAATGCGTACAAAATAAGCAAACGTTATCTAAAAATGTAAACTCCCTCCAAAATTAAAATCTTTATACGGAAGATAAAAAAGTATGTTACACATTACATACTCCCTCCGTCCTAAATTAATTGATGTTTTAGGTTTGGGCCTAGGAATTAAGGAGAAATGAAAAGGTGTGGTGCACAGAAAAAAGAGAGAGGGAGATAGAGAGAAATAGAGATAGAAATGTATTGGAAGAAGAGAAAGATGTATTGTGATTAGAGAAATATGCATTGAGAAGTGAGAATATCAAGTGTTTTGGCACAAAACATTAATCCTATTAGATCAAGTATTTTCTATTCCCTCCGTCCACAAAAGAATGCAATTTATGGGAATCGTGCTGATCAAACTAGCCCATATTCGTCCATAAAAGGATAGCATTTATGTCTAAATAAATTTATTATGAAAATATATTCTATAACTGATCTAATGGTACTTTTTGTATCATGAATGTTCGTACTTTTTTTATATAAATTTAGTCAATGTTTAAACTATTTGACTTCTCGAAAAGCGAAAATTACATTCTTTTGTCGACAGAGGGAGTAAATAAAAGAGAGTGGAAAGGAAATGGAAATTGTGCTATGTGCACACAAAAGGAAACACATGACCACATTTTTTCCAGGTGTCCCATTACAAATTTTATTGGTGTGCACTAAGAGACATCTTTCTGGGAGAAGGTTTCCCTGTGTCAATTACCAATTTATGGGGAAATTGGTTAGGCAAAAAAAACTCAACATATCTAAAAAAAAGTTGGGCCTATATATATTTGCTGAAATCTCTTGGACAATTTGGAGAAATAGAAATTCCATGGCAATACAAAAGAAGCTCCCAAAGTAACCCGGCCATGTGAAATATGCAGAAATGGAGTTGAATGTTAAAGGAACACAAGCTAGAAATGAAGAAATGTGTGGATGTGGTGGCACGAAGCGTCCTACCAACTATCCACTGATGTGTGAATAAAAAAAAACTATCCACTGGTGTGAGTTATCTAGATTCTAGACCAACCTTTATGTTTGGAAATCGGTGTCCTGTTTAGTCTTTCAGAGTGGTCCTGTAATCCGTGATGCTTGCTCGTAGCTGGGTGGTCTTCACAGCATTTACTCTCTTCATAAAAAAAAAAACGTTTTTTTTTTTTTACGGAGGAAGTACACCATTTGCCTTTACATTGGAGTTCGGGTCGTTATCTCGCTTTCAATAGAAGCAGGGAACAACTATTGAGTCTTGTCCACTAGTGGAACCAGCGAAATGATAAAAGAGGGCCAGCCAAGCCAACAAATAGAGATAACATGTCCATATTTTGATGTGTGTGTCTATATATATATATATATATACTATTTATATTCATATAATCATATTTTTTTGCTACGACCACACAAAAGTGACTGTTTCATAAAAGAGGACAATATAGATTACTAAACAATCTCTAAAAACCATACCTTCTCTTTTTTTATTTCGAAGCCTTGTCTTGAAAAGCTTCAGTGCAGAAAATGCCGGTTGTAGTTGAAAGCCGAAGAGTAAGGACAAGTCGAAGTAACCTAGAAAATACAAGGAATAGTAAATTAGCATACACACAAAATTAGCAATTAAAAAAATTAGGAATAGTATCAATTAAACAAACAAGTATTTCATTTGGAAATACTTTCCTGCTGCAATCCATCGCACGCACGTCGACATGGACAGAGATGTGTGTGTCACGTTTCTAAATTCCGGTGGACCGGAAGATGCCAAATTAAGGCTCAAAAAGGTGGAGTGGAATTTTTTTTAAATAAAGGTGATAGGGGCAGAGAGAGCATTTCCTTGTCAGCCAAGTTCTTTTTTTTTTAGCTCCTCTACCGGCCACTCGTCAGAAAGCCAGATTGCATTGGATAGAGACACCGATCGAGACATGTACCGCATGGATCTCATCAAAAGGTATAAATCAATCAATAAATTAAATAAATGAAGTGATGTTGATGACTGGCAGCAGTACTAGATACTTCCTCCCTACTTAAAAAAAAATAAAGTCATTTTGACAGTGACACGGTCTTTGAAGTCTAACTTTGACTACTTATTTTTATAAAGATATTTATCAAAAAGTGATATATGTAAATTTTTGTGAAAGTATTTTTCAAGACAAATCTATACATATGGTTTTCATATTTCCAAACTCAATAACTTAAAAGTTATTTATGATTTATATTCCCAATGTTTGACCCAAGCCTTATCAAAAATGACTTTATTTTTTTAGTATTGAGGGAGTACGTAGTTACTCTCTCTATTTTAATTTAAAATAAATGAATATTTTTCTTTACTAGAAAGTCAAACATTTTATGTTTATATAATAAAAATATACAAAAAAAATATACTAATATTTACTATGTGTAACAAGTATTACTACATTAATAATACAGTTTTTTCATAATAAATATATTTTTTTCATAAAAAATCAAAGTGACTTATAATTTACAATGGAGAGAGTAGTACATTGCGCTATATGACCTCGACACGTATATATAATGTATGTATAATGTATACGCCGTATCCCGTAGGTCTCAACTCTCTCGAGGTGGTTGTACGATGCCGATAGCGTGGCAGCAGGTGTCCTGACCCCACATGTATATATATACTGACAACAAATGCCGTGCCTTTATTCAGTTTTCTTGCCCGGCAACGACGACCGTGAAAGATTTTGTTTGTTTGAGACGTGGCCCCTCACAAAGTTTGACGTAAGTACGTACTCTGGGCTCCCATTCGGGACAAGCCAAGACGGACCAGAGGACTTTTATCATTTTAATTATGCTGATGATGATGCCATGGAAAGAGGCGAAGACGCGTTGGGTTGGGACTGTCATTTTGCCCATCTGGTGATTGTGTGTGTGCGCGCGCGCGTTTGGACAACCTAATTAACGATGCTACTGGTATAGACGACCGCAATCAAAATCAGAGTGTTCTGAGCCGAGCAGAATCATCATCTAGACTAGATAGCTAGCTAGCTAGGATGGAATGGTTCATTGGATACGGTTGGGATGGATGGAATCCCACCATCTTCCTGTTACAGTACTAATTCCTTGGTATGGGTATGGGTGCTTAGCTACGCTGGTGATGCAGCACCCGTTCATTTGGTTGCTTGAACTGAGTAAAGTGATATGGAGGGTCGGTTGTGATGATTCTGTCACGGTGTCACCATCCCACTTCTCAAAGTAGGGGGTTCCATCCAATTTTGTGACATCCGGAAAGTTATCTAGGATTAGACAATCACCTACAGCACTTGGGATCCGATCCATGAGTTTCTTCGAGTTCACACCAAACCTATATTTATTATTACACATTGGTACGCCACCTAGTATATATCATATAAGAGTAAACAGGCGTGAGTATATATGTGGATCGGAGGTGGTTGTACCTGACCAATTCATTTTTCATTTCTCAGACCATCGTGCAACAATGTTCTATGATTAAAGGTCCATTTCTTGGGTAATCGGAAATGTTTAGCATAGATCATGTCGTATTTGCACCGGTGCTTTCTATTGTTCTCTATGCAATTTGGTTTGAGATATAAAAGAAACGGTACGTAATGCTATTATTAAGACGTCCGGAAGGCCGTACTCTCGCTCCACTCACTGCTACATACGCCGCTCACCTAAAAAAACAAAATCAACTCCTGCACGCCTCGCTCCGCTCCCGCCCTTACCCCTTCCGTGCTCCTCATCATCTGCCGCAGCGC